TCTATTTCTAATATAACAATACTATCTTATGTACCCTTGCAGAATCCCCCTTTCAATTAAGTTTTCACCCGTTGTCTCTGTGTCTTCTAAATAGGCTTATACCCTTGATCCTTGTATGTTTTCCCTGTTTCTCTATGTATTGTTTCTGTCCTTTATAATTTCTTTCCCTCTTCCCCTTCTTCTTCTCCCTTCCCTTTTTGACCCGTTCTCTCTCTAATTCTGATTCTATCTTCTGTAATCCTCTCTTCTGTTTCTTCCTAATGTTGTAATTACTTTTCAAACTATTCTTTTTTGGGTTGTTTTTTCAGATCTTAAATTTTTCACTCACTTTCCCCACTTTCCTTTCTTTTCCCCACATAGAAATACTTGGTCATTGAAGATGGCTTCTTCTTTGTCCCACCCTTTTTGTTCTACAGGCATTTCTTGTTGTGTCCCATAGTTCAGGATCTCCATTTCTAAAAATTAAAATACAAAGCCAAAAGAACCTCTTCCTTCTTGTGCATCTTTCTGTTTTTTTAAGTTCTGTTCTCAATTCTTCCAAGAGTGATACCATTTTAAAAACTTTTTAAAAACCGCCCGATTAATTTTAGTCCTTTAGATCCAATAGCCAAAAATCCAAAAATCACCATGTAATCCAAATAATCTAAAGCTGTTTCTTCTTGCTTCTTTTTTCCACTTTGTCTTCCTGGGGTTCTCTTATCTTGTTACAAAGTTTCAGTTAAAATGTATCTTTTAGGAATCTTGTTAAAGTTTCACTGTTAATTCCTTTCACTTCCAGGTGGTCTCCTCCATTTTTCCAGATCCCACCCTTTTGTTTTTTTCCTTCTTTTAAAAGTTTTTGAGAATCCAGAAATCTTTATTATCCCTTTGACATTTTATTTTCAGCTTAAATGCCTGTTAATGTCGAAGTGGATTTTTGTCAGTTTCTTGCTTAAATCTCTTAGTTGTCAATATAGGAAAGAAAACAAAAAAACCCCGAATCCTTTCCCTTCCCTCTCTCATTTGCTGCTTCAAATTCCAGGGTACCTTGTATTGTTTTTCCAGTTCGACCCAGTCAGCCAAAACTTTCTCTTCTTATCTTCCTCCTGCACATTTTTTTCCGATCGAGTTCTTCTTTGAGGTGGCCATTTCTGACCACTGCTGCAACCACCTTCAGGAAAGGGAGTAATGGCCAGCTGGGGAGGAGAGATGCGACTCTCCTTGACCCTGCTGACAGTCTCCCCCCTCTTCACCACCTCTACGGGGTGGCTTAGCCCTGAAACCAGCTGACTTGGGGCGCTCCAGTGGCAAGCACAGATCAAAACTGCTCACAATCACAGATTTTGGTCTGTTGCCAAAGAAGCTCAAACCGGAAGTCCAGGAATTTCTGAATTTTCATGAGATTAAAATGTGGAGTATAATCCAATTAGGCTGTAGTCTGAAGCTTTAAGCATATTTATCACACACAAAAACATATACAGGATCCTATTGTTAACTGCTTAAAACTTGAGAACGCTTAGTTTAAAAATTATTCTTTTCTGAATGAATAGTGTTGTGATAATAGTTTCTCTAATTGGCTGTCACAAACAAATCTTTGTAAAATTATCTCAAGTAGATTGGCCCACTTCCAAAAGGAGTTTTTGGTTATTCCAGGTCATGTTTTAACTCAAAAGAAGTGCTATGTCATAGAATAAACAGGAATAAAACTGCATCCTTAGCAATCCAGGAAATAAGAGTGTTTGTGAAACTGGATTACTCAGTAATAATCTGAGGATTTTCTCTGATTCGGTGTTTTGGAAATACTATAGTTACACTGCCAAGGTCTGAGTGAAGTTAAGAATCCTACAGCCACCACACATCACTCACAAGTACAACAGGTAGTATCCATGATTTTCATGACTCCTACTGAATGCTTAAAATTTTCTGCCTCATTTTTCTCCTTATAAGAAAAGAGTGAGGAAACAAGAGCATGTTGGACCAAGAAAGTCAACAGTACATTAGTGTACAGAATGTATAATGGCATGGATTCCTCAACCTTTAAAATCTTGGTGGATTCATTAATGATTATTCTGTAATTCTGTTCTCTGGTCAAATCCTTAAGCACTTTAAAATAACCTTAAAGAAGACAGTCTTAAAACAGTGTATATTTTATGAAGTTTACTAGCATTAACAACACAGACTACATATTTGGCTATGTTGTATAGCTACATGGTATTGTATGCAATGCATCTAATGTTAAAAAAAAAAAGTCCAAATGCACGCTGTAGTGTAAGTTTTTGAACTGCAGTCCACACATGCATAGTTAATAGGACATATGATATATTATATACCAGACTGATGTAATAGTTAATAGTAAGGTTCTTCAAACTATAAGGTTTGTGGGAAAAACACAGAGCAAATGATTATATAAGCTGTATTTTTTGTTTCAGGGAAACTGATAAGATGCTGGAGTGCTTAACACTCTAATAAATTAAAACATTGTGAATTTCAATATGATTTGATGGTCCCAACAGCATTTTATGATGTTTTTGTAGTTTATGTTGATTGTATTTATTATTTGATATCTTTGATTTGTTAATTCTTATGTTATCTCTCTATCTCTCTATCATCTATCTATCTATCTATCTATCTATCTATCTATCTATCTATCTATC